TAGGATTTTCTTAAGGAAGAAAGTGGGGAGGTAGACTGTTTTGGAGGAAAAGGCCAAAGTAAAGTCATGGGCATCAGTGAAACTAGCCATTAAGCTGGAGAGGTGGTTGTGCCCACCTCCTTGGACGCTGACTTTGGCTGTTTCCCCCTTTCCCCAGGACACCATGCCAGAAGTCCGTCAGAGCTCCTTTGCTCTCCTGGGAGACCTTACCAAAGCTTGCTTCATGCATGTCAAGCCCTGCATCGGTATTTGCTAAGGATCTGCTGCCCCTCACCTTATAGTCCATACTCCCAGCTCTGCCACTTTCCCAGGAAGTGTTGGAGAAAAACGATCACGGGGGTGCCATCGATCTTGTGTGTAGACATTCTGTCTAGCCCGAAGAATGCCTGGGGCAAGGAGAGCTTTAGGTTTCAGTCTTCAAAGTTGGGCCCGAACTCTGGCCACATTCTCCCCTTCCCTGTACTTCTTCCTCTGTAGCAGTGTCTCACTCCTAACTTCTCTCCTCAGCTGAGTTCATGCCAATCTTGGGCACTAACCTGAATCCTGAGTTCATCTCTGTCTGCAACAATGCCACCTGGGCCATTGGGGAGATCTGCATGCAGATGGGTGAGTGCTTAGCATCCCACAAAATGTTGGGGTAGAAGATGGAGGCTGGAAGTCACTGACTTCTTGGGGCCCTAATCATTCCCCCTCCCCCCCATGTCTCCTAGGGGCCGAGATGCAGCCGTATGTGCAGATGGTCCTCAACAATCTGGTGGAAATCATCAACCGCCCCAACACCCCCAAGACCCTGTTGGAGAACACAGGTGGGAGCCCAGGCCCAACCTGGGCAGTCTTTTCCCCACCCACCAATATGGGGAGCCAGTTTCCCCCCAGTGGGGGTCCCCCTTTCCCCTTAACCTGGGAGCCACATATGTCCCTATATCACTGTGCTAAACTAGCTGGGGCCAGGCCCCCAGTCCTCCTCTCCCTATGGTCTGGGGAAGAGAGAAATCCACAGGAAATAGCCCAAGTCTCTGGGCCACTGGCCCAGTCCAGCCTCCTTCCCCAAATAGGGGTCAAGAGACTGAGCCCCCACTGGGGCCTGAAACCTGGCACAGTTGATCTAGGCATCTTCTGTCCCCCCCCACTGGCTCGCTTAGAGTGGGTCTGTGGGGGCTGGGGCCAGGGCGGGGGTCAGTGCCCCCACCCAGAGGCCCTGCCACGTACAGTCCCGGGGCCACTCGGGGTTTCAGGTCGCCTGACGAGTCCCTCTGCCATTCCAGCCATCACCATCGGCCGCCTGGGCTACGTGTGCCCTCAGGAGGTGGCGCCCATGCTCCAGCAATTCATCAGGCCCTGGTGGGTGTGTGTGCTTTCCCCCCTGCCCCCCCCCAACCTGCCCTGATCCTGTCCCAAAGTGCATGTCAGCCTTCCATTCTGCCCCTTCTCTCCTCCTGCATCCTTCCTGTGATTTGTCTTCCTGACCGGGCCAGCGCTCTCTGAGCTGCCTGCCGAGCCTACTCTCCCGCTGCCCTGCTGCAGGTGCACATCTCTCAGGAACATCCGAGACAATGAGGAGAAGGACTCAGCCTTCCGGGGCATCTGTATGATGATCGGGGTGAACCCTGGAGGGGTTGTGCAGGTAGAGGGACTGGGGAATGGGAGGGGAAGAGGCTTTCCTACTTGGGAGCAGGGCAGTGGGGGTGCTGGCAGCCCCTCACAGCCAGAGTGGGTGGGGTCTTCCTTTTCAGGATTTTATTTTCTTCTGTGATGCTGTGGCCTCCTGGGTGAGCCCTAAGGATGACCTGCGGGACATGTTTTATAAGGTGAGTCCTGGGACTCCTGTCTCCTCTCTGCCTTGGGGTGTGGCACCTCTGCTATGTCCCTCCTCTCCCTCCCTCAGATACTCCACGGCTTCAAAGACCAGGTGGGGGAAGAGAACTGGCAGCAGTTTTCAGAGCAGTTCCCACCCCTGCTCAAGGAGAGATTAGCTGCCTTCTATGGCGTCTAGGTGAAGCAGGGAGACCACGCACTAGGTAAGTCCCAGGCTTCTGGGACCGGCAGGAGGATGGTCCTGGAGGCAGCTGGGGGCTGGGACGGGCAGAGGAGCCCTGCTGCTGACGCCCCCTCCCTCTGCTCTTGTTCCCAGGTTCCTGACGGCGTTGGGAGGGGTTGCTGGGAGCTCATCAGCATCCAGGTGTTGCAGTGCCCTGTCAGTGGGGGGTTAGGGAGGAGTACGTGGGACACAAAACTAAACGACTTCCCGTCTTCCTGCCATTGCGGGGGTGGGGGGTGGGGGGGCCTCCACGCTCATTCTACAAACCAGGGGCTTTCATCTCTGGCAGAAGCCTGAGCAGTGCCAGCCACACGGGGGGCGGTGGGTGGGGGGAGGACTCGCTGCAACAGGATCTTGTTTTGGAGGAGGAGGAGGAGGAGGAGGAGGAAGGGGAAACAAACGGGGAAAGGGAATTATTGTTGTGATCCGAGAGACACTGACACAGATGGTCTCTCGAGTGCGTACAGAGTAGGGTTAAAAAACGTTTAAAAATGAAAGGAAAAATAGAACAAGCAGCCACTATTCTGGTACTGCCCATCAGTCTGGCGGGGTGGGGGGTGTCGCTGTGGGGATTATGGTGCATCCAGATTGGTGGGAGGGGGCTTTGCCTGTTTCTCCCACCTTTTTCCCTGACTGCATGGTGACATTTAGAGTAGCGAATCCTGTGAGTTAGGCTATAATGACTTAATGTAACCTTCATCTAGAGTTTAAGATGCTTCTGTAATAGGTGCTGTGCAATGGTCCGAAGAAGGCCATGACAGAGGGTCCCAGCTGGCGAGAGCCCAGGGCTTTGGGGCCAGGGGTGGGGAGGGAGAAAAAGAAGGTACAGAGCCTCCTCTGGGCTGTCTAGCCCAGCCATTCATCCAGGAGGGGAGCCATTTCCTGGGCCCTGGGCCCTGCTACGCTGGCCAGCACTGTAGAGACGCATGCTTCCAAAGCCACTGCTCAGCGAATTCTCCTCTCACTGGTTGTGCACCTGTATTTTCGTGCTGCTGCTGCTGCTGCTGCTGTGTTTACTTCACCTTTCCCTTTCAAACCCAGTGGGGGGGGCAAGGGGGGAGGAGGTAGCAGCTGGGAGGGGGGGTTGGAGCATGTGGTGAGCCCTACGACCTGGGTTCACTGTCTCCCAGCCTCTGTCCTGAGGCTGCCCAGCAATCTTCCCACTGGGAGGAGTACTGTTTGCTTCTCTACCACTGTTGGTTCCCCATATGTGGATGAGCCCTAAGATACCTGAGTGTAACTGAATACAACTTTAGTATCTCTTCTTTCTCTCTCCTAGAAGTTTTGATAGGACAGTCTTAGGGGTTCCTTCCTGTTTCCTTTTCTGTCCTGTTATGGCCTCTTGGCCATCCTTTTCTTGTCTCATTTTATTTATCATTTTTGGTCCTGGGACAATGGCTGGAACCAGCTTTGGCAGTAGCCAAGAAAGGCTTTTTTCTGGATGGTTTACTTTGCTGGGAATTAAGTCAGCCAAGTGGTAGCAGCAGGAATCTCAGAGCCTGGTGAATCTGACTAAGAGGGGAAAGTGAAATGGATGGCCTGAAGCACTTCCACTTATTCATTCCCTCAGTCCTCACCAAGAGCCCAGAAGGGAGAAGTGGTTATTTGAGGTAGAATTTTGTAGGACAGGAACTTTCCTAAATGCTGCCCAGCCTGGACCTAAGGAATCCAGGTCTGGCGATTTTCCTGAGCCTGAGGACTGTCAGGGTCTTGGAGGACTCCAGATGGGGATGGGTGTAAGGGGTTGGGGGATTATGGTGAGGAGGGATCAAGTGTTGTATCCCCAGTGTTTTAGTAATGGGCTTTGATGGAAGCAAACTTAACTGGGAAGCATTCGCCCTCCAGCAGCTTTCTGCTCCCTCTTGTCTCCTCTGTTTTTGGATTTTGGTGTCTTGTCAGCCCTTCCCTAGGGGCTAAGATCTCCCTTTTTTCCCTTTCTTGGTTGATGCCCTGTAACTTCCGCCTGCCTTCCACCTCAGGATGGGGGAACCCTGTAGCTTTGAGTCAGGGCTTGTCTGTCTCTTCCATTTCTTCTTCCATCCCTCACTCACCATTTCAAGCGTGGTGTCACGCACATTCCTCATGTCAGCTTTTTAATTTAATTTTTTTAAAATCGCGTAAAAACTCGAGCAGGTCTCTGGGAGCCGTTTACAAATGTTTTTTTTTTGTTTTGTTTTGTTTTGTTTTTGTTTTTTGTTAATTTTATTTTAAAAATTCTGGTTATTTGGAGAGCCTTTTCCCCTGGGGTGCTGGAGGCATAACCTTGTAGCAATCCGGGCTGTGCCTTTGCTCAGCTCAGGGTGAGAGGTCCAGGTTTAGCCTCCGCGGGGCCCAGAGAAGGGGAACGGGGGAACAAGTTTTTTTTTTTTTCCAGATTATTTAATTTTTTAGTTTGTTTTATTTAAAATTTTCGGTTTTTTGCACAATGAAGGTAAAGCTCCATGATCCAACTTCCTCTGCCTCAGTTTGAGTTAGTTTCTGATTTCGGGAGTTCGCTTGGCCTGGGTGACGGTGCTGACTCTAGTTTTTAGCCTCCTGTCTGTTGAATCCTCGATTTGTACATTTGTAAATGTGCTGTAATGTTTCCTATGGTAAAACTGCTGTGGATTAGTGTTGAAGCAACTGCTTGCACCTTTGCTCCAATGAGATTTTTCTCATTTTATGTATAATTTTTTGTTGACTAAAAACCAGTTTCTTGTGACTCAAGTTTTTTGGCCTCCGCCTTTGTGTCTGCGCCTTCTCGGGATGACTAACGGGCCGACGTCTGGTGGGTTGGGGGGCCAGGGATTACCGGGGAGCCCGCCCAGAGGCAGCGGAAGTGAATGTCTCCCCTACTTCCGGCTCGTGACGGGCCGGTCTCTTGTGCTGCATCATCAGTCGGCGCCGGAAGTAACCCCGTGGTCCCTTGGAGACGAAATATTTGTAGCTGGGGCGTCGGCCCCGGAGCGGGTGACGGGTGGGAGGTGGGGCGGCTCCCGGGGAGGACCGTCAGCCCGCTCTCGGTTCTCACTCCCATACCCGGGCACCTTCACGCCCAGGTGCCCCCATAGCGCAGTGTGGTGCGGTGGGAAGAGCCCTGGATTGGAACGAGAAGAGCTGGATTCCAGTCCTGCTTTTGTCATTATACTGCTTATGTGACACTGGGCTAGTCACTTCCCTCGTCTGAGCCTCCCTCGGTGTCTTCCTCCGTAAAGTGAGGGGGTTGGATTAGGGGGCCCGCGAAGGCCTTTCCAACCCTCACCCTGTGATCGTATGCTCTCAGGGTGCTTCCCCCCCAAACTTGGTCCCCCAGGGTATCCTCTGGCATGGAGCCACCCCCCGACGACTCCCAGGACTGGGATGAGGACTGGGACCCTGAAACGGACCCGGATGCCCAAGCCCAGGAATACATCGAACGGGTTCTGGGCTCGCCCGGCGCGGCCCTGGCCCGCACGGTCCTGGCACCCCCGCCCCCGGTCAGCCCCAGGCCACCCCCCGTGGAGCTGTGGCGGGAGTCCCGGTGGTCCTCCGGCGGGGAGCCCGGCCCGGCCGCGTCCGGGCTGCTGGGTCTGCCGCTGGAGCTGATCCTGGAGATCTGCTCTTACCTGGAGGCGAGGCTGGTGCTGGGGGTCCTGCCCCTGGTGTGCCGGACCCTCAGAGACATCGTCCAGGACCAGGTTATGTGGAAGATCCGTGTGCAGAAGCTCCTGGGGGGGGCCTACCCCGTGGTGGAAGGTGCGGGGGCCGGGGGAGGGACTCGGGGCCTTCGGGGGTGCCGAGTTGTTTTCCTGGGCCACGTGTCTGGAAGGAAGGGGCTGAATCAGGTAGTGAGGCTGTGGTGGGGAGGAGGCTAGAGACAACGTAGACATCGTGGCGGGGGCCGGGTTCAGACCTCACTACCCCTCACCCCCAGAGGAGGACTTTGACTGGCCAGCTGCCTGCATCGAATTGGAGGAGCACTTGGGCCGCTGGGCGGACGATGGGCGACGGGCCGAATACTTCAGCTTGTCTGACGGCCACTTTGCCTCCATCGACTCTGTGCTCCTGCTGCAGGTGAGGACAAGGCGACAAGTCTCCCGGGTGGGGAGGTTGGAAGCAACCTGGATTTGAGTGGAGGATTTAGAGCTGCAGGAGACCTTAGCTATGATAACAGATCCGATTTCTATAACTTTGTAGGTTTGCGAAGCATAACCTCTGAGGGAGGGGAGAGCAAGTAATAGATGAGAAATTTCTACATTTGAAAGGTGAAAAAACTGAAGCTCAAAAATTTAACAATTTTTTTTGGAGGTATTCAGGGTTCAGTGACTTACCCAGGGTCATACAACTAGAGTTTAATTACTTTTTGAGCTCTGCTCCCCTATTACCTGTTGAACATCTCCACCTGTCAAATGAAAACTGAACTCATCATCTCTTTTATCTAAACCCACCCTTCTTCCTAGCTTAGTGTTTCTGCCAAGGGCACCAGCACCTTGAACTCTTCTCTCTCCATTACCCTCATATCCAGTTAGCTGCCAAGTCTAATTGCTACTACTTCCACAACAGCTCTCAGATCCAAGTCCCAGGCCCTCATCACCTGTTGCTCTGATGGTTACAATTCACCTCCTTGCCTCCACTGTCGTCCTCATCCCATCCACCCATGTCGCTCTACTGCTTGAAAAGCTTCGATAGGAGACAATGCTGTTTAAGCATTTAGAGCGAATCACAGAATCTTGTCTCTTGAGATTTACTGTATCTCATTCTTCCTCCTTCTGCATTCCTTCCCAACTATCCTATTTGCTGTTCCTCCAACTTGGAATTAGACCTTTACTGCACGTATTCCTCACCTTAGCTCCCTTCAAGTCATAGCTCAAGTGCCATTTCCTTTTAAAAAAAAAATGCCTTTGGTTTACTTTCACAGTCTATGATGAATGTCAGTATTCATACCCAGTGAGCTGGTTATTACTGGTTACCGGAGCCAGGATTTGAACTCCAATTCTAAGCATAGTGGAAAGAACTCTGGATTTGGAGTTGACGAACTTAATTTGTGACCTTGGGCATAGGGCTTAAATTTTCTGGGCTTCAGTTTCCTCATCTGTATTGTGATGGGGTTAGGTCAGATATCTCAAAGGTTATATCTAGCTCTTAAGTCCTGTCCTGGGACTGTATTCTATGCTTCTTATGGCCCTGGCACCCCACCTGTGTCCTCCTTCAGGGTGGGGCACTCTGTGTCTCTGGCTCCCGGGACCGAAATGTCAACTTATGGGACTTAAGACAGCTTGGAGTAGATCCAGGCAAGGTTCTGGTCAAGGCTCTGGGTACCCAGCGGAGCGGGACCCACAAGGTGAGAGCTTGGGAGCCAGGTTCTGGGGTGATCCTTCTGCTGGCTCAAGCCTATGCTTCCCGAATGGGACTCCATGCCCTGATCCCCCAATTCTCCAGGGCTGGGTCTGGTCCCTGGCTGCTCAGGATAACCGCGTCTGCTCAGGCTCCTGGGATAGTACTGTGAAGCTCTGGGACATGGAAGCTGATGGGCAGCAGTTTGGGGAGATCAGGTATGTGGTGGGCAGAGGGGAGGGAGTGATAAAGTTCAGTCCATGTGGGGATCGAGAAGCATGAGGCCCAGAGGGCCCAACTTCCCTTCCCCCAGCCCCATTCCTGTCTCCCTAGGGGCAAGGCTGCTGTGCTCTGTCTCTCCTACCGTCCTGACATCCTGGTCACCGGCACCTATGATAAGAAAGTGACTGTTTACGACCCCCGAGGTGGGTGCCCAGAATCCTGGGCAGAGATAGGAAAAGCAGGGTCCCCTGGTGAGTGTAGGAGAGGGCTTTGTCTGGCCAGAGAAGACACTTCCAGGGTTGAGACCCAGGAGCTCCTTGTACTAGCTGGGAGTGGCTGATAGTATTGTCAGTCAGGAATCAAGTCTCAGAAGGGGGCCTTCCCCCTGGGGCAGCTCGATGGCGAAGTAGATAGAGCACTGGCCCTGGATTCAGGAGGACCTGAGTTCAAATATGGCCTCAGACATATAACACTTACTAGCTGTGTGACCCTGGGCAAGTCACTTAACCTCATTGCCTAGCCAAAAAAACAAACAAACAAACAAAACAGAAGGGGGCCTTCCCAAGAATCCACCTGGCCTGGACCTGGAGCCCTTGGGAGGGCAGAAAGTCACCAGCTATTGTAATGCCTGATCCACCCCTGGTACAGCGGGCCAGGCCCTGGTGAAGAGCCGAAGGTTGCATTCAAGTGCTGTGCTGGCCTTGTCAGCTGATGACCAGTACATCATCTCGGGAAGTGAGGACCGAACCTTGGTGGTGTTTGAGCGGCGGACCAACAGTGTCCTTCAACGGCTGCAGGTGCTGGGAGCAGGTGCTGGGAGCCAGCAGAGCTGGGGGGTGGGGAGTGGCTCCAGGGCTCCATCTGTGGTGGGGAGGAAGGGGGGGGGAAGGGGTGGTGCTCAGCCTCTGAGTAGTCCTGGGGGTGGGGTGGAGGGCAGGGCCTGATCTTTCCTCCTCTGAGCCTTCCTCTTCTTGCCACCAGCTGGAGTCATACCTACTGTGCATGTCTCACCGAGAGCCCCAGCTCTGGGCTGGGGACAACCAGGGCCTGCTCTATGTGTTCGAGAACCACGGAGGCCAGTTCAAGCATGTCAGGGTGTGGTATTTCTCAGTTCTCCTCACCTTGGCTCAACCTCTTCCCTTGCCCATTTCTCTTCTGGCAAATAATCTCCCGAGGTTTCAATGTCTTCCTCTGTTAAATGAAAGATTTGGGCTGGGTGATCCCTAAGCCTGTTTTTTTGTTTTTGTTTTTCATTCTAAGAGTTGGGAAAGGGGATGGGCAGAAGGGCCCTAGATCAGCAGCTGCCCTGTTAATAGGAGCTTAGTTGGGAACAGGGTTAAGAGGGTGTGAGGAGAGCAGGGGCCTGGTGTTGGGTGATAAAAGCCCTGCATGTCCCATCCCTTGTGTCTCTTCCCTGTAGTCCTTCGATGTGGGGCATAGGTCACAAATCACTGGCATTGAACATTCCTTGGGGTCACTTTATACCACATCCACGGACAAGACCATTCGGGTAAGCACCAGTTGACCAGGATCCCCAAATTGAACTGCAGACCCTTGCCTCCTGACCCTGAGCCTAGTTTCTCCTCCCCAGGTACATGTGCCCACTGACCCACCACAGACCATCTGTACCCGAAGCCATCACAATGTTCTTAATGGGGTAAGGCCCCTCTTCCCAAGCTCTGCTTTGCTACAGCCTCTACCCCTTGCACTGCAGTAAGGTTTCTCTTCCTGGTTTCCTTCTGCCAGGTCTGTGCTGATGGCAATGTAGTGGTAGCTGCATCCGGGGGTCTGTCCTTGGAGGTGTGGCGATTGACGCCCTGAAGTAGGGGGGCCCAGAGGACTGGGTCTGGCTGAGGCATCTTTGGACCTGTGCTGCTGTTCACACTTCCCCCATCCCCTGATATTGGGGACCATCCCAACCATCCAGGTGTCAGACCTGGTTCTGTGGTGCTACCAGAGTACCCGGCCATTTTCTCTAGTGGCTGGGATCATATTGCTCCCGCTGTGCAAGCTCATAGCTCCTGACTGGGGATAAACCCCATCACCCAGGACCAGAAGAGTGTTGAGGGTCCTTCCAGTGAGGGCTGGGCCTCATTCCCTCCCTTCCCCCCACCTCCCTGTTATTTATTATTGGAATATCCCTTTCTCCTGCTGTTGAGGCCAAAGCTCAGGAATAAACCCTTTGGATGATTCCCCGCTGCTGTGACTGTGTACTGCCGGGCTTCCGCCTGTGATGTGGTGCCTTCGTGGCTTCATGTGCATGGAGATAGTGTGTCGGTGTGACTCGCTCCTGGGGCTGTCACGTCTGACTTTGCACCTGAGACAGTGTTTGTGACCACATACATTCGATCACAGCGAACTGGATGGCAGCATTGGGCCTGTGACACGAGAGACCGTGCAGTGGGTGGGTGTGAGACGCATGTATGGACACCCAGGTCCTTGGGAGGACAGCAGTTCTTGGTTCTCTTTCCCAGATATGAACTCAAACTCACACACAGAGCTGAAGACTTTAATAAGACCTGACCCATATTTTCCTGGGGCTCTCAGACCCTCTGGAATTGAAGGGATGGGAGAGGAGATCAAGGGGTCTCAAGGTGGGGCACAGGATGGGAATGTCTCAGGATTCAGGGATATTGAGCAGTGAGGTGCTGTGGGGTGGGGTGTATCTCAAGCCATGGGGACCTGCTGCCAGGGCACCTTAGGACAGGAAGGTGAGGAGTCTCTTGATAGGGGTGTTGAATGAGGAATTTGAAGGGAGGAATCCAAGCGTGGGGGTGTCTAAAGACACAGATGTTCCTTGAGAGGGGGTCACAGGATGGTGCATGGCTTCTTCTCCTTGAAGGGGTTGACAGCAGCTGGGATGCCCATGAGGAATGGGTCACTCTTGGCATGTTCCACACAGTACTGCAAGAGCTCCCCTGCTGCCTTGGATACCTAAGGCCAGATCAGGGCCTAGCTAGTCACCAGGGACCCAGGCCCATCCCCACTCCCAGCCCATCGTCTCCCAGTCTGAAGCCCTCACCTGGACACGGTCGATGCCGGCCTCCATCCGCAGCTGCTCCACTGCCCGGCGTGCTTGGCCTATGTCACTGCCACTTGACATCCTGCTGGACGTCTGCCGTGTTGTTGAGAGGGAGTTGGGGCTGCCCAGATGCAATCAAGCTCCCCTGGCTCCTTGCAGCAAGAGACATCAGCTGTCAGCCCCCACACCCCAGTCACTCCCAGACCTTCTTGGGCTCACAGCCTTGTCCTGCCATTTAACTGTGTGACTGCACCCTGCCCTGCCTCAGTTTTCTCATCTAAGAAATGAGAAGATCTCTGCAACCTTTCCTAGCTTTAAATAGTATGTTTCCCAAGCCTGCTTCCTTCATCTCCTTTCTTCCTCCTGAATCACCCTGGCTGGCCCAGGCCTAAGACTGAGGAGAAATGGATCATTTCCTGGAAGGCAAGAAAGGCTAGGCGAGCGTTGAATGTGGACTCAGGATCCAAGTCTCTTTCCTTCTCTGGGCCTCAGTTTGTTTGTAAAATAAAAATATTGGACTAAATAATTTTTTAACCTTCCTATGCTAAATCTTATGAGCCTCACCTCTCCAAAGAGAGAGTTCCTCTCTCTGTCAGGGTCTGGTTCTGGTTAGTGCCCAGGGAACAATGCAGCCTCCCCCATCCACTAATAATAGCCCAGCCCCCTGGACTCCTAGAGTCTAGGCTGTCCCTTTCTTCCTTCCCACCAGTGCCTTTGAAGCTGGGACACCTAGGGAGTGAAATGTCACTGCCAGGAAACAGCAGCAGCTGCAGTGGCTGTGGGGTGGGCGATCCCTTTGAGGGGTGGGCAAGGGATGAACGTCACAGGAACCTCATCTGTCGGGCAGGAACCCAGAAGAAACCTAGTGTTGGGGGTCCAACCACATAACTTGATGTCTCAGGATCCTTCCTGATTTTATGGATCATGGGATATCACAACCAGAAGGAGTAGAGAGCACCTCCGTGGTGGGTCTCCAAAGTAGAGGCCATGCACTCTTAAGGGGGCTGTGGCATGACCCCATCTGGTACATGACCAGAGGAGTGAGAAGATGGGTTGCCCTTCACCTTCCCCTCCATAAGCAATCATGGGCTGATTTCTAATACATCCATACCAAAAGAAAAATAATCTGAGTATAATAAGGGATCCTTTTCCTTTTCTACTATGTACATGAAAATGCTTGAATTGGTGTTGGGGAAATTCAGAATAAATACTCTTCTGCCATCTTTCCCACCGTGTCCCACCACTGACCTCTTGTGGCCTCACCAGGTTCCTGACCCTCAGGGTGGTTCTAACCTCATTCTGACCCAGCCAACCTGTGGCACATGTGATTGCAGGCCAAGGCAAGGCTGTGCCACCAAGATCCTCTTATGGTCAGACCCTACTTCCCAGGAAGGAGAGCCACCTCTCTCCTCTTCCCCCTTCATTGTCACTGAGTCACTGAGGATAAGAATATGTTGTGGTCCTTTTAACCCTAAGGAACTTCCTTATTCCTGGCACCCAAGTTGACATTCACACTCAAAGCCACCCCGTAGTACTGAATTCCTCTCTTACCCCACATAACCCATCAATAGTTGTCTTCTTTCTGCCTCTCACAACAATATTTTTGTCTCCATTCACCCTTGCTGGAGCCCTTCAGCCTTTCACCCAGAGTTTTACCAATAGCTTAACTGGCCTTCCTACCTTATGTCTGTCCTCTGCATACATAGCTGCCAGTGATTTTCTCAGAGCACAGGTCAGACCGTGCCACTCCTTATTCAATAAATTCCAATGGTTCCCTGTTGGACCATGTGATCAAAGATTATGTTTTTTAAATTTTCATTTTTGAATAAGTGTTATTATGTATATGTTATCACTGTGGTGGGGGAATAAGGACTGTGATTTTCATTCTTATGGGAATCCTCTAGGTAAGGAAATTCCTTTTTCCAATGCAGGTTGACTCAGAGCACCTTGATGTTATGTGACCTGCCCATCATCACAGAGCTGCCATGTGTCAGGACTTGAATCCAGTTCTCTATCCACTATACCGTTATTTGTTGTTGTTTCAGTTGGGTCCAACTCTTTGTGACCCCCATTTGGGGTTTTCTGGGCAAAGATACTGGAGTGGTTTTCTATTTCCTTCTCCAGCCCATTTGATGAGGAAACTGAGGCAACCAGCATTAAGTGACTTGCCCAGGGTCACCTAGCTAGTTAGTGTCTGAGGCTGGATTTGAACTCGTCTTCCTGTCTCCAGGCCTGGTACTCTATCCACTGTACCACCTAGCTGCCCTTATATATTATACATCTCTATATAAATAAATTTATATATAGAGAACTTATAAATAAATATACACATATTGGGACTATACGCTCAAACATTTTTGATGGGCAAGATGCATGGTATCAAGAGGTTTGGAGACCATTGATCTAGTCTATGTGTCCAAACATTGTTGACTGATGAGGTGTGTGATGTAACAAAGTTTTGGAGACCATTGATCTAATGTGCAACAGAAAAAGATCTGAGTTTGGAGTTAGGAGACAGTGGTTGGGCTCCTGGCTGCTACCTAGATGCTGTGTGACCTGGACAAGTCCATCAAGCTCTCTGAGCCCCAATTCCTTCATAGGTGATAAGCCTTTCCTTGTTTTTAGCTCTCCACTATCCTTATATAAGGTGTATTATTTTATGCCTTGGCATGGCTAGCAGCAGACAGAGCGTTAGAACTGGAATCAGGAAATGTGACCTCAGATACTTTAGCTGTGTGATCCTGGGCAAGTCACTTAACACTGTTTGCCTCAGTTTCCTTATCTGTCATGGAAAAGGAAATGGCAAACTGCTCCAGTACTGCTGCCAAGAGAACCCTAATAGGGTCATGAAGGGTTGGACTGAAAACAACAACCCAGCTTCTCTGGTAGACTGAACTGCATAAAGGCAGGTATAATGGCCTGTCTAAACTTTCCCCTTTCCTAGCTCAGTGCACTGCCATACAGCAGCCGTCTGCTTTGCTGAGTGACTGATCTGTGAAATGGGCAGATGGGGCTAGAAGATGGATCGCCAACGTGACTTCTACCTTCCAGTCCATGATTTTACAGAGAGGGTGACTAGAGACCCAAAGGGGCAGGATCTTGAGCAAGTTTATTCTGCTCCTGAGCTGTGAGGAGGCCTTGGCCATACCCAAGCCAAGAGAATCCGCACCCTGTGCATCTCCTAGACAGGATGCAGAGGCAAGGAGCGCCCCCCTGCCTCGTGGGACCAGGAACCAACGCGGGTACCCTGGAGGCTCTCTGCGGGCGACCGATAGAGGGCGGGAGAGCGTGCGCGAAGCTCCCCAGCTTCGGCGGCATCCGTAGAAGAAATGAGAGTCAAGAAAAAAGGGCAGCTGAGCCTCCGTCGCCACGTGATCTGCAACATTTCCGGTCCTTCACCATCTCTATTCCCCGGCCTCACTTCCTCGGCAAGCTGGGATCGCGCTAAGCCCCAGGTGAGCCGAGGTAGGGCCGGGCGGCCTGACCCTGACCTCCAACCTCCCCCGGAGGGCGCATGGAAGGCTCCCCGGAGGAGGAGGGTGGGGAGGGGCCCGGGCCGCGACCACCCCCGGGAGTTGTGGACGCCGTCCTCAGGCACAGCTCGGCGCTGCCCGTGGAGGCCGTCCAGGTGCGGGGCTACGACTTCAACCGCGGCCTGGACTATGGCGCTCTTATGCGCGCCTTCGCCACCACTGGCTTCCAGGCCACCAGCTTCGGCCGCGCCGTGCAGCAGGTCAACGCCATGGTGAGGGGGTGGGGCTGGCCAAAGCCCTGGGTGAGGGAGGGGGCGGGGCTGGAGAGGAGGGGGGGGTGAGGACCGGGGAGGGGGGGGGGGGGGGGGGGGCTGGAGAAGAGGAGTAGGTAAACGCTACTAGGGTCCTAGGAAGAAAGGGGGACAAGGTGGGGCCGGTCAGTGTCAAGAGCATTGGGAGAGGAGTGGGTGAGGGAATGAGGGATAATTGCACTGTATAGAAAGCTCCCAGAAGGGGAGACCCAGCACTGAAGGAGCCAACCACATAATTTGATATCTGTGGGTCCATGGTGAGAGCCCGGGAAGAGAGGGTGACCCAACCCTGGGGTAAAGGGGAACTTCAGACTTAGGGAGATCATTGCTGGGGTGAAGCATGAAAGGGCAGTGGGACACTGAGGAGCCCGTCAAAGCATGAGAGAAGCTGTTGGCAACAAGGTGTTCAGTGGTGAACAAGTGTTGAGATACAAGCATGTGTCACTGTGTATACCTGTGCCCAATACAGAGTTTAAGGGATCAAGTCAGGGGACAAGTTCAAGTCTCCCTTTATAATTTTGGGTTGGTCTTTTATCTTCACTAGGCTTCAGTTTCTGAACATCTTTAAGTGGGCCCTGCTTCCCAGCAAATCCAGGCTTTAAGTTTAGAGAGATATCACAGTCACTCCACCTTCTCTCCCAGATTGAGAAAAAGCTGGAGCCTCTTGGGGAGGAGGAGGAGAACCACACAGACTTGAATCCAAGCCGTCGGCCAGTGAGCGGCTGTACCATCTTCTTGGGCTACACATCAAATCTCATCAGCTCTGGTGTCCGAGAGACCATTCGTTACCTGGTGCAACACAACATGGTGCGGGAGAGTGGCTTTGGTCAAGGCCTGGAGACCCCCAGGAGCTTAGTGAAAGATCTCCTTTGGCTGGGAGAGGAGTGGGTTTGGGGCTGGGGCGGGGACTAAAGTACCACCTAGGCCAAGGGTGATTTCTGCTGATTCTCTTGGGCTTGGCCCTGCAGGTGGATGTTCTGGTGACAACTGCAGGTGGTATAGAGGAGGATCTGATCAAATGCCTGGCACCCACATATCTGGGCGAATTTTGCCTGAAGGGGAAGGACCTGAGACAAAATGGTATCAATAGGTATGGGTGAGGAAGGCGGGAGGGACCACTGTGGAGGTTTCTCTGCCTCAGAGCCTTGAAGTGACTGATTCTTAATCCTTCAGGATTGGAAACCTGCTTGTCCCTAATAACAATTACTGCAAGTTTGAGGACTGGCTGATGCCGATTCTGGACCAGATGGTTCTGGAGCAAAATACAGAGGTGGCCACAGTTGGGGGAGTGGGATAGAGGGCGTGGGTCAGGGGTCATTGGGGAGGGCCTTCACCAAGGGACCAAAGGGGTGGGGCATCCAGGGATTGGGAAGGAAAATGTTCTTTCAGGTCATCAGACCCAAGGGTCTGTCCTTTCCTAGGGAGTGAAATGGACACCATCGAAGATGATTGCACGATTGGGCAAAGAGATCAACAATCCTGAGTCTGTGTATTACTGGGCGCAAAAGGTATGACCTATTAGCGAAAAAGGTGTGGAGTGTTGAGGTTTCTGTCCAAATATCCCTGAGGCCCTGTCCCTGTGATCTTTGAACTCAATGCACTTTTCCCATTTTTTTTCCTCTTCTCCTTTGGCCCAGTGGTTGGGGAGAGAGAGTATGGACGAGGGAGGGAGTCTTGTATCCCCACCCTGTTGTGACTTCTGATTCTACTCTCTAGAACAACATCCCAGTGCTAAGTCCAGC